GTGTGATCGTTGTTGTCCTTCTTTTTATCTTTCCTAAGCCGAAGGTCTTTCGATAACAGTCTTTCTGCCTTTCTGAAAGTAGAGGTAAGGTGTGCACACATACTACCCTCCTCAATCCCTACTTGTGGGATTATACTGAATCAGTTGTTGGTATTGTTGTTTTACTGTATTATTACTGTCGAAGAGGACTTTCATACTTATAATATAACTTGTTTCTTAATTTAATAATTAACTACCTCCACTAATTATTAAATGAAATTTTTTCCTTGCCAAAAAAAGGAGCTAATCTCTCATTCCAAAGTATCGTCAATTTAGACTTTTAGAATCTAAATGTTAAGTTCTAATCATGCTTTTGGTTTTTTTTCTTTCCTTCAGATAAAAAGAAATTTACGTTATGCTATTGCTTAATATTGCTTTTGAAATGTTTTGAAGTAAAGAATTAATCTATATGATCTAAATCCTTCGATAGAGAAATGACTCGCCAAAAAGTGTAATAGTACTGGTAAAACTAACCTAAACTCATTTGATCTGTTCAATTTGCTCAAGTTTTAATGGGTTTGGGCTGGAATATTTTTAAAACAACAAATTAACTTATCAAAAATTATTAGCTCAAATGGACCCGTGATGATACCTAATCTTGACCCAAATAAATGCTCAATCATAAGGTTCTACATTAACTCATGTTCTAAAAAATATTTTTCAGACCCCACGTATGAGATTAAGAGCCCGTTTGGACATACAAAAAATTTCCTTTTTTTCAATTTTTTTTTTGAAAACAATGTTTGGTTATCCTATTCTTACTAGTTTTTTTCTTTTTCACTTGAAAATCCTTTTTCAATTGAAAATGGGAATTTGCTAGTTTTTAGTTTTACAGATTTACCCTATATTTTTAAAATTTATAAAATGACCCCATCAGTTTTTCATCTTTGGCAGATACATCTTTGGAGATTGATGGTAGAACATCGGTCCTAGTTGATACTTGAACTCTGCCTACTGGAGGTTTGATTATATGGTTATGAGAAATATATGGCTATGCATGCTTTTGCACCTTCTCTGTGTGTTAGTAGAATTAGAAAATGTGATATTAATTTTGCATCTTCTATGTATTGCAGTAAAGCAGAATATGATAACAGTTAAACAATAGCATTTTAATTGTTTATTTTACGTGGGATAATCAAATTGGGGTGATTTTGATATTTTTTATAAGTTGTGGAGTATAAATCATGTTTCATGATTTTGAAAAATAAAGACATCCAAATATGTTGCAAAAATTATAACCAAACACAACTTCATCTTCAATTCAAATTTTAGTGAAAATCCAAATTTGAAAAAAAAAATTGGAATTCATGTCCAAACGCCTACTAAGATGGGTTTGTTATTGTTGTTGTTGTTAGTGATGGTGGAAAATACTTATTTTATTAAAATGAAAGAAAATACTTTTTCCATGTCATAAAAAGAAAGTGTTTTGTTGAAAGGAAGAAAAAAAACTCTATATACAACATTAAAAGAATTTTTTTTTTCTACAACATGAAAGGAAAGTACTCTTTTTATGAAAAAAAAATATTTTTTCTACATCATGAAAAGAAAGTACTCTTTTTTGTTGAAACAAAGGAAAATACTTTTTCTACTATATGAAAAGAAAATACTCATTTCATAAAACAAAAAAAAAATACCTTTTCTACATTATAAAAAGAAAGTACTTATTTAATTGAAATGAAAGAAAATATTTTTTCTACCATAAAAAGAAGATATTCATTTTGTTGAAATGAAAAAGAAAATACTCTATCCACAATATTAAAACAAAGTATTCTAAATAATATTTTTATTTTGGGTGGGATCAGGGGTTCGGGAATAGGGTGGGGGTTCGGGTGGTGGGAGGTGGATTGAGGTGGGTGAAAAGTTTTAATTTTTACTTTTTTATTTTTTTTATATTTATTATTATTATAAAATGAAGAACTATCAAATAAAATTCTAAATCTAAATTGAGGAAATAAATCATTTGGCATGAATTGACATATATACAAAACATAATATATTTTTTTTATATATGCTTGTTTAAAAGTTAAGAATATTGCAAAGATTTAGATCAATTTGGGCTGGTTGGATTACAACTTATTGTTTAACACATCTTGACCCAGCCCATCTTAACCCAACTGAACTTTGGTCAGGTTAGACAATGATTCATTTAAGAGAAATGTTCATAAAGCACTATCTTTTAGTGGTAATTAGCTATCTATAAATATCATTTGCTATATTACGGATTGTAGATACGTTTTCTGTTGTTATAAGATGTATTAGATGTATTTAAGCTACTGTATTCATGAATACAGTAGCAAAAATAGGCGTGAATCAGAGAAGTCCAGCTAATCAGTTGTTGTATTCGAGTGTATTCGACTGTATTTATGGCGTGAACACATGGGATTACAGCTGGACATATTATTGTATTCGACTGTATTCATGGCGTGAAACAGGGAATTGCACTGTTTTTAAACGGAAAGTGAATCAATTAACATAATAAACTCTTAATATAACTCAACAAACTCATTTATAACAAACAAATTTTGTATTTTCTTGTATAAAAAAGATTCTCAACCAAAAAATACCCCAAAAACATAGCAATCTTCAGAAAAGTTATATAATACATCTAAATACATAAATTATATTAATTAAAAAAACATATGAATACATTCATGGCATATAGCGAGACAGTGAATACAATGAAATATATAGAATATAGCGGGATACATTGAAATGCAATGAAAAAAAAGATAGTGAATACAATGAAATGCACGGAATACAGCGAGATACATTGAATTACAATGAAAAAAAGACAATGAATACAATGAAATACATAAAAATACAACGTGATACGTTGAAAATACATTGAAATATATTAACAGAAAATCAAGTTGCTCAGTCCCAAACTCCGTCGTCTTTGTTCAAGAACAAACCCTAATTTCCGGCGAATCCACCGTCGAGTAAAAACCCTGAATCTCACCAAAAAGGCCCTTCGTCTTCAATCAAGTGCCCTTCGTATTTGATCAAATATGAAGAGCCCTTCGTAACAGAAAATCAAGTTGCTTCCGACCCTTTGTATTCATTCAAATGCCCTTGTTCTCTTGTGAGCATAGTCAACAGATATCCAAAATCAACTTCTGATGTAGATACTATTGTAAATAGGGTTGGGCATATATCGGGTATAGCCGATAACCCCAACCGATAAAAGCTTATTGGGGTATCGATATAGGGTAATCGGGTTAATGGTTCAGTAATGATTTTGCATTTTTTTACTATTGGGTTATCGGTTCGGGCCACGGGTTGCCCAATTTCTTAACGGGTTAACCGATAACCCAATAAAATTTAATAAAATTAAGATTTTACCCGATTTCTAGGGCTTCATTCTCTTTTTTTCTCCTAATTTTCCCAGCCACATTCAAGATTGAAGTTTTAATGTTCACTCTTTAGACTCTGATTCAATTTATGAACAGTTCTTCTTCAAATTTCAATGTACAACCACATTCTTAGAATCTTAGCGTAAATTCGTATTCCAAAATTACTTCTTTGTTAAGAACAAATTTCGTTTCTTTCTTTTGAGTTTTACAGTAGAGTTCGATAATAAAAGTATATGATTTTTGATTGTTTTCGATTCTTTATTTTGTGCTCATATTTTAGTACTATGTTTGTACTTTTTAATTTTAAGGTGAAATTGCTACTACTTTGTATTGTTATTAATGTATTTGGATTGTTAAAGAATTAACACTATTTCAGTTGTGTTTGGACAACTTTTGAATTATTAGTACCCTTATTGCTCTTGCTACCATTGGACTCTTGAAAGTGATTGATCTCTTGATTATAGTTTGGTAGGAACCCAAAAAATTATAATTTATGTTCCTGTTAACTAATATTCCTAGTGAAATGGAGATGGAATCCTAGTTGGAGTTGTAGTATCAATTTTTGAGATTGCACGGGTCATGAATTTGTCAAAATGAAACATTCTTCAAATATTAGTTGTGGCTAGAACGCAGAATTGGGTAATATACTATATGTGAATTCTTCTTTTTTTTGCTTAACTCTAGATTGAGTTCTCTTATCGGGTAAACCGATAACTGAACCGATAATGATCGATAACCGATTAACCGATAACCGATAACTAATATCTTGTCGGTTTGGTTATTGGTTTATCATATTTGTAAACCGATAATCGATATGCTAAACCGATAATATTTATAACAGAACCGAACCGACCGATGCCCACCCATAATTGTAAATGGCATTTTTTGTGAGTTCTCTTTTCTCTTCCTTTTGTTTTTTTCTTTTCTGGATTTTATTCCCAAGCGGTAGCAATCTTATTGTCTTTTTTATACTTATCATGTTTTGTGGGTACTCTATAACACTTGATTTTGGAATTATTACAGGGAAGAAATGATGACCTGTCTAGTCCTCTCATTCATGTTCGGTTTCGATGCTCCAAACACTCTTCATCAGAATGGGGGAAGAGAATGTCATGTATCAAAGTAGAGAAAGAAAGAAAATAGTGTAACTGAATAGCGTATTTAGTGGCTTAGGGATATGAGGTAACCAAAATTATATATTTTACTATAAACATTAAAAGATATCTATAGAATATAATTTTTTTAAATGGTATTTATTTAAAATAAATAAGGTGTTAACCTTTGCTATAAGAGGTAAAAATTCATTCATTTAATGAATCAATCCATACTGATCAGCCCAAATACAACCTAAACAACCTATTTGCCACCCCTAATTGTACCATCATAATTGACAGAGAGAGGATTTTGTCCCCATAAAATAAATTAAGTGAGGTGCTTTATAATAGTGCAAACCATATGGACTTAAGTGCCACAAAAAGAAACCACAAGGAGGCTTTGATAATTACAAAGAGTTGACTTTAGCAGCCTTTGAGATAAACGGCTCTGATTAATCATGATCACTGTTATAATTAAATGGTCCTTTTAACCCTTGGCTGGATTCATTTGACTGAAATTCAAATACGACGGCGTAGCCTACTATTTGGTCCTCGTGGTAGAGCTCTTTAGGTTTTCTTCTACTGCTTTGTATCCAACTGTATTTACTAGTTCTGATCGCGAAGCAAGAGCTAGCGAGAAATTAATTAAAGAGCAACCATGACAGGTAATTTCCCTAAAAGATTTGATTTTCACACAAATTTCAGCTAATTGAACCTCAATTTCTTAATATTTCTATTCAATGAATGAGCTGTTGCTTTATAAATGAAAGATTTTAGTATCCGAGCTATTCCACTACTCTTTTGATTCATTAAAGAGCAAGAATGGCAGGTAGTTTGCCTAAAAGATTTGATTTTTCCTACAAATTTGAGCTTATTGAACATAATTGGGCCTTTCAAATTAAGATTGTGTATGGCCACATTTTATCTGTTCAGAAAAGTAAAAAATAATGAAAATTGATTCTTGATTTAATTTGGCTATGAATTTAGTCTTCAGACAGACCCTGAGGATATGCTAGGTATATGTTATGCGGATTTTGAAGATGTTGGTTTATCTACAATTGAATTGAATTCATTGAGTGCAATCATCATAATTAAATCCATCTTATTAGAATTTTGGACTAGACTATGCGCAGGAACAAGAGATGGAAATCGAGGCGTTGGAAGCAATTCTTATGGATGAATTCAAAGGTTTACGACTATCCTTGATGATTCAATTTGTAGGTTCGTCTTGCTCTCTGTTTTGAAACTCATCAGATAACTTTATTGTGTGGTTCTGCTAGAAATCCACTCCAGTGAAAGCGGGCTAAACACTTCAAATCGATGCTTCCAAATTACTATTACTCCTCAGGTACATGGCAATCTTTGCGATAGTGTATTACTTGACTATTAAGATTGATGATGAATAGACTAATGTAGTGGCGGAGGGCCGGAGTTATTTTATAAGTAATCGATCTTTTGTTTGGAATTGTTTATTATTGTACTAGCTCAAAGGAACTAGACATCTCGTGACCCTTCATTAGTGTTATTCATGCCTTTTAATTACTATTATCATACTTCTCACATTGTTGCTTTTGGCACAGGAGGATGATGAAGAATCTACATACTCATCAGGTTTTGCTATTTGTCTCGCAGTTATTTCCTCTACAGCTCTCTTCTTTACTTCTTTTTCTGTAAGTATATGAACTCTCACTAACAATGATTGCAACCAAATTGTTGCTGCAGTTCGATTGGCTTTAATATTTTCACACACAGAAAAATATCCCGATGAACCTCCACTTTTGAATGTCTCAAGGTAATTTTAACCTTGCACTTGGATGACCCATCTCAGGACCTGTAGTCTTTTCTTTGTTTGGATACACTGTTATAAATGCTACATAACAGAGGGAAATATCCTTTGTGCTCTTTTGTGCTTGTAAGTGGAATTGGAATTTTACCCCTATTTCAACATATCACATGTCCTTTATGTAGTTTATCTGCGAAAATGACAAGCAGTAAGTGAAACTAAATAATCAAAGACAAAGAACTCAGTTTAATTGGCTCTGGATAGTAAAGTGTGGAGGTCGAGCTTAGGGTTGTAGGTTAGGACGGAGTAGAGCGTTTTTCTACGTTGTTTCGGGGCGGGGCTAGGCTGATAATGTTTTGCCTTGGGTTGTTGTTGGTTTATGTAGTTTCCACACTATTTTCTATGGCATTATTACTGGTTATTGTTATTGCTTTTACATCTATTTTCTATTTCTTACAATGTTGATATTATTCTGGCTTCTGTTGTTGTCACTGATCTACTGTCTATTGTTTATTGTTTATTTTCTTCTTACTGAGCCGAGGGTCTTTCGGAAACAGCCTCTCTACCCCTCCGAGGCAGGGGTAAGGTTTGCGTACACTCTACCCTCTCCAGACCCCACTCTAGACCCCACTTGTGGGATTTTACTGGTTTGTTGTTGTAAAGAACTTAGTTTAATGTGGTTCAGCAAGCTTACATCCATAAGCGAGTGATCTATTATTGACTGTGCACTTGACACGGTTTACAAGCTTCTCTAATATACTTAACATCATATCTGTTAGTAGCGATCATTTTTCTATCAATATAACAGCAGTTACCTAGCAGCAACCTTAATTTTGCTTTATTATTTTGATAAGCAACTTTGTGCAATTGATACATTTAAGAGATCTTCTTGATTTTTTAGTTTAAAAGGAATCCAATCTGGAGATCTTAAGATCTTGAAAGAGAAGCTTGAACAAGAGGTATGTTTTCAAGCCCCGATCTTATGCCGTGCACTTTTGATTTTTTTTTTTTTTTTTTTTTTTTTTTTTTTTTTTTTTTTTTTTTTTTTTAAGTATTGTTTCTTCTGCTAGTTAAAGAATCTGGCCGATTATTGTGGCAGTGACTCTGACCCTACCCACTACAGCCCAAAAGAAGCCCCTATCCTCTCTTTCCTGTCTTTAGCATTTAGCTACTGATGTAGAATGAATTATGGAAATTGATGAGTGTTGTTCTTTTATCTAAATCAAGCACTTGTTTTTTATGACTTCTTCTCTGAATGCTTGCATTTGAAGGCTGTTGAGAATCTTGGCATGGCCATGATTTACACATTGGTCACATCAGCTAAAGACTGGCTATCTGAAAGATTTGCTGAAGAAACGGGAGCCGAAGATGCTGAAGATGATGAAGCCAAAAAAGAGGAAGTATGTTATTTGTCCCGATTGAGCTGTAGCATGTGAATCAGTTTTCATTAGCTGCAAACTTGGAAAGTCATAAGTCAAAGATTTCAGTGATTTTGACTCAAGAATTGTGAATTGCCCACAGCTTCTATTGGACAGACAAAACTAGGTTACTTTAGTATGATTTTGATAACTTATCCACTGAATAAGAAAAGGAAAAGGGGGGGGGGGGGGGGGGGGTGTAAAGGCATGTTTTGTTCTGATAGTACTTGGAATCAGGCTCCAATATATATTCTTCTAATGTCACTTAATAAGTTGAGCTAGAAATATAACTTGTGTCTGGGTTTTAGAAGGGACAGTCAGGCCAGGATATTAGGATGTACTTGAAATCTAGCCAAAGTTGTCTACGAGCGTAGTGACTTTTGCAAGTTTGAGCTTGAAAGTGGTAAGACAGTAATAAGACTTGAATCTGCCTGTATCTCAGTCAAGGTAGTCGGAGGCTACCAACACTTCAAATCTTCACTTTTGTTAGTTAATAATTTCAGCAAACCTTGCGGATCTAGCTTGCATGTTGCATCTACATTTTTATAAGCAATTCTGTGGTGCTCTATTGAACTACCAACTGGAAGATCTTCTGTTACTTGTTGTTTTGATTGATTGGCCTGGAATCGTGATCACTTAATTGTTATTATTCATTTGACTTTTAGGTAATTGTACCACATGGAGAACCAGTTACCATCGATACATTCTTGGCATGGAGGGAAAGATTTGAAGCTGAACTAGCTTTGGAAAGAGCCAAGTAAGTTTCTTGCATTGGCTTCTCAACCAAAGTATTATCACTGGAAGTGGGTTTTCTTCATCCAATAAAACTAGAAGGATTACACTTTTGGAAATTCCAGCGAAGCTGCATACAGTTAAAATAAATCATGAACTCCAAATATGTGAAAATCTTGGGCAACTTTAGGGGCACTTTGTTGCCAGAGGGAAATGTTTATTCTTTTTCTTCTCTGTTGAGTGCAGAGACTTTTAAACAGGGTTGTGGGTCGGAGATGTTAGGAATCATTCAACTGACGAAGCTGTAGACAGAATGTACTGATTATGACCATATGTTACCTCTTAAACTCCTTACCTTTGAACTTTTCTGCTTTAGAAACTTGTGGCTAGCCAACTACTTTTCAGCATTTCCTTTTGTCCAAATTTGGCTATTATGCTCCTGATGTGCAACCATATATCAACGTTCAGGTTAATGCCAGATTCAGCACTTAATGCTCCAAAGGAAAAGAAACTGACAGGGAGGCAATGGTTTGAAAGTGGAAGAGCCAGTGGGGTAATTTATTCTTTCGTGTAGTTGCTATTTCTAAGTTTATAATGAAGTTGTGCTATTTTAATCTCGCTGATGCTTGCATTGCTGAATTGAAATTTTCTATTGTCCACCAAATTAATTTGAGTCAAAGAGGACAGCCTCATTTATAATTTCAACTTTCTAGATAGTGTCCAGAGTTCCATAAAGACTATCCCACTACGGGAGGCTGTCTCTTCTTTTTTTGGGTGTTCAATAAATGTGAAGACATACTCCACTTGTGGGAATATATTGGGTTTGTTGTTGTAAAAAATGTGAAGACAATGGAGTTACTCGGTACCTGTGCTGGTGGGAGGTAGCATGTATCCTTTGAATTAGTCGAGATGCACGCAAGCTGGCCCAGACACCATAGTTATTAAAATTAATGTGAAGGCAGTGTTACTGGGCAAGATCCAGTTCGTCTTTGCTAAATAGCATAGCCAAAGACATTGAAACAAGGGCATTGATGTTTTCCTGAATTCAGTATGATTGAAATTGTACGATGCAAGTAATAGAAACGCCGTGCCTTATTTTTATGAAATGCTTTAATGTGATCTGAGTATTTGCTCTATTATCCTTTACTTTTGTGTTAAAACCTTTTGGTGTAGGTGGGGGCTATGGTTATGGGGCTCATTGTCACGACCCGGTCTTTACACTCATAGAAAAGACCCTGTATGATTAAAGTGCTGCGCTGTGCCCTTTTCCTTTTCCTTCCGATTAGTCCAGCTGCTTATAATGTTCCCTGACCATACGTTAATTCAAACGCTAAATATTATACTGCATTCAACTGCATTTTTGAATGTTTGTAAGTCAAAAGTGTTTGGTGTACGTAGTGGTAACTCCTTCGAGTTGGGTGTGAGGTCCTGTTACTGTATAAGCTGCTTAGGCAAGGCTGTGGGTTCATAATATAGTTATGTGTGGCCGTTGCTAAACAGTTTTCTTTTCTTTTTTGGTTGTCAACAGAAAGCTGCGGCAGCTATTGCTGAAGAATCTGATGAAGACGAGGATGATATTGATTTTGATGATGATGATTTTGAAGGTCAATTTTCTTGTTCTTGTTTTCTTCTGTTTATTTGTTTCTGAATCAAATTAACATGTTTTTTTTTGGTGTGGACAGATGATGAAGAAGATATGCTTGAGCACTATTTGGCCGAGAAAACAGATTCATCCTCTCATTCTTGAAGAAGAGCCAGTTAAAATAACTTAAGTTTATACTGAACGCAGAAGTATTATTTCGCTCATTCCTTAAGTGTTGTAATGAGGTAATTGCAGGTTATACCTGTGCCGGTTTTGGCCCTAGATCAGACAGCATGATTACTAAACATACGTTTACGAAGAGACAAATAGAGTTTTTTGATTTATCAAAAGATTTTCTTGTGCCGTGCAATTTAAATGTTGCTCATCTGTTTCCTGTTGGTTTATTATATTCATCTCTCTCGGTTGAAGAGGAGTGGGGAGAGATTTACTAATATACTGGTAAGAGATCAAGACTGAAAGGAGCAAGAGTAAGCATGTCTTGCCTTGACAAGTAGAATGCTATAGGTGGTTCAGGTGCTTTCTTGTGTATAAATAGCAAAATTGCATTCTTAAGTTTCTTTATCTATTTTCCAAAGTTTTCGTCTAAGGTCGTCAATCGTGGAAACTTCACATTTTCATTCATGTCTTTTACGCAAAGAAGGTTGTGTAAGCTTGTTTCATGTTTTAACACTTCAAAGTTATGAGTGTTTATGTCAAAATGAGATTTAAGCCTTTTAAACAACTGGTGTAAATGTTGTGTAAAGGGGTTAACAAAAGGTAAATAAAGCTGAAATTGCTACCAAAGGGTGGCCTAGCGGTTGAAAAGTTGAAGCGAGTAACTTGGATGTTTAAACCTCAATAGAGGCAATACAAGGTGAATTCTTCCTATCTGTCTAAGCTTAGGTAGTATCGTTATCAATGTTGTGTTGGTAGGAGGTTGCAGATGTCCATGTATCAACTAAGATTCGTGTAAGTTTGTTTAGATACTACCATTATAAGAAAGAAAACAGTATCTAAGCGAAAGTATATGAAAACTTCGACTGCAATGTATATATCATTTTACTTGAATCTTTCAGTACAGATAGTTTAGTTACAGTCTTACAGACGCGAACGAATGTAAGCAGTTTTCATATGCCTTATTTTTTGGAATACTTGGTTTGATCCTCATCTCCACCTTTGTAGTAATAAAACTTGTTTTGGTCATCTCCATATCTGTAGTTCAAAGACACAGAAGATGCGAGTTTTTTCAGCCTTTGTTGAGCCATCTGTAAGACTGTAGTAGTCTTTACTTTAGCAATGTAACAGCAAATAGCATCTAAATACCACCCGCTTCTCCCCTTGAAGCCTACAATCNACAGAAGATGCAAGTTTCTTCAGACTTTGTTGAGCCATCTGTAAGACTGTAGTTGTCTTTATTTTAGCAATGTAACAGCAAATAGCATCTAAATACCACCCGCTTCTCCCCTTGAAGCCTACAATCTGGCCACCTTCCATCGGCAGGGAGAATCGCGTTCCTTCTTCAACTCCAAAAGGTCCAAATGTTCTTCTGTTGCTGCTAACGGTGAGGGATCGTATCACAGGACTGCCACCATAGACCACTGGACAATAGTAGCCGCTAACGCCCGTCAAGTATTCTCCTGGAAATTGCAGCTTAATCTGGAAATGAAATTCACTTAAAGCATTAAGTTTCATAGTAGTAGCACACTTTAACAGCAAAATGCTAAACTTTTGTTACGTTGAGTTAACACCCGAGGTTCACTTTCTTTAACATAATATTAGAGTCAAACTCTTTCTTATTGTAGTTTTATCCAACGAAGGACTCCATGTAAACATGCTATATTATCCGCAAACCAAATGATCAGTCCTAAGAATGGGAAGGGATGTGTTAGTGAGTACATTGTTATCTTTATATGGTCTTGGGCAATCTTTGTACAACAACAACGACCCAGTAAAAGTGGGGTCTGGCAAGGGTATTGTGCACACAGATCTTATCCCTACTCCGATGAAGTAGAGAGGCTGTTTCTTGGGCAATCTTTGTCTCTTGAACTAATTTTTAGAGTTGAGTAATGTAACTAATCTGCTAAAGTAAATGAAACACTATACTGATTCTTTATATTATCAGTGTACGTAGCTAAAATCCATAGAATAAATTATTACCTGTGCAGTTTTACTACCTCCAACTCCTCCATGCTTCTCTGCTTTATAAGGCTTGCCATTTTGGTCATAGACCACAGTCATGGAGTCTATACAAAGAGAATAGACAAGGGTAATTTCTCTCACTCCAGTGAAGCCACCATCGTCCCACGGGCTTCCACCATGACCACCCCATGGTCCAACAACGATCCTCTTCTTTACTTCGTCTGCTTGCTCCTTCCCAACCGGCCTCTACACACATGGGAAACATTTTTCGATAAGTGACTTCCATCGTATCAAATACATCCAAAAGAGAACAACTTTTAAACTCGAAATAACTTACCATGTCCATCCCCGAAAATGCAAAGATAGACGCCAATAGCTGATTTAGTTGCTTTCAAGAAAGTATTACTCATATATAGAGGCAGAAGCCATTGTTGTCTTGTCTACTTCTGTAGCAGTACGTATCTGATTCCCATTTTTATCATTCTTCAGAACCTTAGCTTTTCATCTTTTCTAGTGATTTGGCATTAATTGAGATGGTACAAATCTTATCATGGTTGAAATCTTTGGTGAGAACCAGATTCGTATGGCAAAGGAAACACAGAGAGAGATACCGCGCTCCTTTATCCTAGAATACAACTATAGGAGTACTAGTGTTTATTCCAATAATCACTAATACACCATTTTTCAAATCAATAAAGGAAGATTTTAAACCAGCACTAAGAGTGCCGAAATATGTACAGCAAAAAGTTTGAGATAGTCTCCAACCAACTGAAAGGAGCTGATAAAATCTTAGACACAGCACCAATCCATATTCTTTAGGTGTTGGATATATTTACTTAACAAATTATAAGTAACATGCAAAACAAACCATCAGAAAATGGAGTTGACAAATTATTTAGATACTCGCATCAAAAGAACGTTCTTAATTTTGTCCTTAAGTCAACTGGGACGAACAGGGGGAGGGAACCAAATTCAACTTGCTTCCGTAAAATATAAATATCTTGAACCAAAACTCAAATGTTTGTCTAACTGTAAAATTATCTAAAGAAGAAAAAGAAAATTTAAGATGACAATATGGTCATATAACTAACTGTGCGCCATAAATAAGTAGAGTTAACATCTCGGTCCTATTTATTACTCATCGACATCAGTTAGCTCTGTATCCCTATGCACCATTGACTCGTCCATTTCTGTTATGTCTGTATCTTCCGGCAGCGGCAAGGGTGACGATCTCCACTTTAGTTCAAAACTCGTATTGGGATTTATATTAGACGGAGAAAACTCAAACATTCTAATGTCTTCTAAATAATGTCGCCAGCATTTCTTTGAGTAATATTTACAACAGCTAGGAGTCTTCTCTTTGTTCATCATGATCTCCTTTTTGAACTGTATTCCACATAAATAACAGTGAGTACTAACCAGTGTAGCGATAGAATGCATTGATAAACTAGAAAGTATAATCTAAGGATCCAGTTCAGACAGAGCTAATCTTACCGCGAGAAGGTCACTGCTGGGAGATGTCATTAAAATAAGAGTTTTTGGGTGAAACTGACGCAAGTGACTGCTGAGAAGATTTTTCAGTACTCTTGATGATTTAGTCAATTCTATCTTGAAGTCTCTAGAGGGAAGAAGATGGATTCCTCTCATTTCCTCATAGATAATCACATCCTATAAGTGCCACAAGAATAAATAAACAATTCAACATATGAGAAGCAATAGACAATCATCAATGATAATTTAATACAAGAGTTTAAAAAGTTTGAGACCTGTTTAGAGGCAAGAAACAACTTGAAACCTTTAGCTTCGAACCCTTGAACGAATTTCTGAACTTCAAGAGGGTGAAACTTCTGTTTTTGGGATTTCAAGTGAAGCTTCACTTCTTGCAACTGTGAAGCATTCATGGAAGAAAAAGGCAGCTCAATACCAGTATATTCAAATGAAAGTAGATTTGGTGCATCAATGTTGGCTTCCTTTAGTTTGCTGCACCTTACTACTGAAAGCTTCTTCAGCTTGTCACTCAATATTGTCATCCTCCGCAATGCATGGCACTCTAACAGGAACAAGTTTTCAAGTAATGGGAATTCGGCGATACGTTCCTGAAATGACTTATCCGACATGTGTGTATGCCTCAACATCAAATTCTTAAGATTTCCGCACCCTGCTAAGATTAATTTGCACCTTGAAGATTTCTTTCCGTGGAACCAAAATGTCTCAAGATTGGGTGCCTCTAGTTTGACCGACCTGAGGTTGGAGCCCTCATGTACTTCCAACCTTTTTAGTTTAGGCAGAGTTGAGACATGCAAGAATTTCAAAAGATGGCACTTGATCAGTCGCATATCTTCGATCAAAGGGCAGCCTTGGACAAACTTATGGACTACATTCTCATTGATACGCATAGCTTTCATGGATAGCTCCTGCAGGTTTTGGAGCTTTATGACAGCAGAAACATCCATTCCACATCCGTGGAGTTTCAATGAAGTTATTGTCCTGGAAGCAAAGACCACCTGAGGCAGTACATAACATTGGCTAACCACATTCTCATACACATCATCAGCCTTCTTCACATGGATATCAAGCTCTTTAACATTCTTGTCAGTAGCAACACTAATCCAGTTATTCATATAGGGAGTCATAAGATCAGCAACAAAAGAGGAGACATGCAGCCTGAACTTTTGTATACTTGGCAATGGTTCAATTCTGGTTGCTAAGGTGTTCTCAACAAACAGAATGAACTTCATTAATCGCAGATCTACATATCCAGCTTTCAGGGATTCCTTAAACACCTGCTTGAAACTTGCGCTCTGTTCCTCCACTGGTGGAGATTGGAGATCATTTGAAGCTCCAACCTTATGATTTTGGAAGCGCCTCTGATCAAAATCAACGGAAGTCAAAGATTCCCAAATGACTTTCCACTTCTTGGACAGGATGCTAGTTCTCACAATATCCTTTGGCCAGCGGAGAAGACAAAGGATGTGATGTAAAATGTGTTCAGGCAACTCAGAGATCCTGTCCGCATCATCAGCTGCTCTTCCATCTGTGTTGGTGATCTCCATTCTCTTTCCCTTTTTAGTGTTTACCTTTCTCTGTCTTGCGCCCTTTCTTTTCCTTTTCTTCATTAACGTCTCCTCTTTGCAAATTCTAGAGACCCTTCGTTTCGCACACAACAAGCGTACAACTTTAGACATCATATCCTTGCCTAAAATTCTTGTTCAAATACAAGAAAGAAACCTCCATTTCATTAAAAACTGCATCTTTACTTTTTTTTATGGTAAATATATTATATAAATATTTGCACTAAGCCACAACAGGTGTAATTACAGGTTGTGCAAATCAGCAATTGCATCTAAAATATCATCTACATCTGGTAAAAAACCAGTGTGCAAATCAGTAACTGCATCTTTACTTTTAAAATATATCAATGAAACTAATACCCCGAAGAGAAAATAAAACGATCCAGCATTAATAGGAAAAAGATAAAGGAAAAAAAAAAATCAATATTTAACCTGTATCTATCAGCAGGTAATTCAAACAAAAAAAAAAAAAAAAAAAAACTTAAANAAAAATATCCCAATCCTAAATACAACTATGTCAAATAATTGCAAAAAAAAAAAAAAAAAAAAAAAAAAAACTTAAATAATTTTACTGATATTGGTGCCAAAATAACGCATGCATAAACGTAATAGAATTCGAAGTAACCTAAGCATAATCTTTCTAATCAGCCTGAAACATTAAATGCCAATTAGGGGAACAATTTGATCCTATCGTTTCGTAGATATAATCTCAGAGATACAAAAGACAATCAAATAAATATGCGAAATACCTGCAGAGATTGCAGATACTTGGAATTCGGAAAGACGAAACTGACCAACTGTGATTTGATCAACCTTTTGACGGTCAAGCTACTTATATAGGGTTCGCCGATTGTAACTACTATGTCGAAACGGGCGGGTTAAGTTTGATGGGCCGGGTTGTTTACCGAGGACGCTAACTTATTGGGCTTTGGGTTCTGTTGAAAAGCCCAAAGCGTTTTTGGACTGATAAGGCATTTTTGGGGCCTAAAACCCCGTTTTGCCCGGAGAATCTTACAGAAATATCCCAAAAAAGTCTCAACTTATTAATCCCTAACCATTAATCATAGATTTATCAAAACTACCCAAATATATAAAAATTGAAAACCCAAAAAAATAAGGTTATTTCTCACCAAGAATCACACACAAAGATCTCCTTCATTTTTAAGCATAATTAGCAATATTAGATGCAAGACAGAAAAGAAATTCCATGGATAAGGTAGCAAATAAAGTGATGAAAATATATATATATATTCCAAAAGTCTAAGAAAAAAATTATCTTTTTTCAATGGGTATGATTGAGATTCATTTAAAACATATAGATGAGTCAATATAGAAAATTTGAGGAAGATTGGAGGTGATTTGAACTAATTTTGTATCAAAATCGTAGTTAAAATCGAGTTCAAAAAATTCTCCTATGACACGTGTATCAAACATGTATCACACATGTATCTCACATGTAAGTATACCAGGATATACATGTGATGCACATTTGATACAAATGTGATACATATGTGATACACAGTGTGATACACCTATTATTTTTTTCGTGTTCACTTCTATTTCGAATTTTCGATTCAAACCATATCAAAAATCCATCAAATCATCTCAAAATTGAGATTTAGGCTCCTTAATATGTATCCAATCTATTCTAATTACACTCATTCAAAAAAAAAAAGTAAAAATTTGACATATTTTTGCTACAAATAGCTAATTGGCTAATATTGGTAATATTTGGCTAATACTTTTTTTTGGTAACTAAACTTTTGTAGTAATCACCTTTGAAAATTTTACAAAATCATAACTAATCAGCACAATTAGCTATCTAAATTCTATCTTATCCTTAACTCTCTACTATGTACAAGCAGTTCACAACTGAAAGAAACATAAAAACTAGAAGCTTAAAATACAAAACTCTGCAGCAACTCCTTAACTCTAGATTCTGCTCTAACTTAGCAGGTATAAGCTATTTCACGTACAATTGTTTCTCAGTTCCTATAGTTCTTGTCAAACACTCTTTGATTCATTTCCCTCCATATAACATATATACATTCAGCATATACTAGTTTAAAGATTTGAGCTTGCTATGATTTCCCTTTGGCACTTTGAATAGCCCAGCCAATATGTTGATTCTATGTATCTGCTATTTGCTTCCATTGCAGCCAACTCTGCAACTTCCTCCATATAGCCTTAGCAAATTCACATTCAACGAATAGATGTCCCTTTGTTTCCAATTGTGTCTGACATAATGTACATGTTGTGTCCATTGTTAGTCTCCATCTTACTAGTCTATCTGTTGTAGGCAATCTTCCCTGTAAGTGTAGCCACATTATGAAGATTGCTTTCGGTCTAGCATCATTCTTGAACATAAGGCATTTCCAGGTTGTTGGTCTCATTTCAGGGAGAAGTTGGTGGTAAACAGAATTTGTCAAACTCCTTGTAGTCTTGGCATGAGGTATTAAGTGTAGTTATTTCTTAGCTTCCAATATCTTCCTAATAATCCAACTTGCTTGTATTGAGATTGATGTCTCCATCAATGGATTACCTTTGACATAGTAAGCATGAATCCATCTAATCCATATCTTATCTTGCTTATGAGCTACATCCCAGTATATCTTGATTTGAGCGACTTGATTCCATAGCTTTATGTTGATAATGCATATCCCTCCCATTGACCTAGGCATGCATACTCTATCCCATGCTACCAAAGCTTTCCTGGTGATTGTGTTGTTGCCTGACCATACATAACTTCTGCAGTAAGCATCTATAGCTTTCAGAACCTTTACTCCTAGGAATAAAGAATAATTGAGCCAGTATGCTTGAATTCCAAATAACACAAATTTGACTAATTGAACTCTTCCTGCATAGGATAATTTTTGGTTGTCCATGAGGTAATTATAGCTATGATCTTCTCTATTAGTGGTTTCCATTGCATTAAAGTGACCTTCTTTGTTGATAAAGATACTCCCAAGTATTTGAAAGGCAGGCTCCCATGAACAAACCCCAGATGGTGGACTTCCTTCTTAACTCCTCCAAAATACACACAACTCTTTCCAAGATTTGTTTGCAATTCTGAAGCTTCAAAAAATTGCCTGAAACACTTATGGAGAGTAGTAATAGAAGTTAAGTTTCCTTTGGCAAAAAGCAGAAGGTCAAAACTAAGGTGTGCAAATACCTAATTTTGCACACTTTGGTTGAAATTGATATAGCCTCTCTTCCTTCAGTTCATTAAGCTGCCTACTTAAATACTCCATAGCTATTGCAAATAGAAAGGGAGATATTGGGTCTCTTTGTCTAAGCCCTCTAGCTGTATTAAAAGGCTCACTTAGTCCACCATTAACCATTACAGTACAATTGACTGTTTGAACACATTCTATTATCCAAAGAACAAATTGATCTGGAAACCCAAGTTCAATAAGCATCTGTCTCATAAAAGGCCATTCAACAGAATTATATGCTTTTTGTAAGTCAATTTTTATCATGCATCTAGGAGATATATTCTTCCTTGTATAAGCTTTAACTAGCTCATGAGCAAGAAAGATGTTGTCAGCTATTTTCCTCTTTGGGATAACCCCAGCCTGAGCTTCACATATGATATCTGGAACCACTTCTTGCAATCTGGAGGCTAGTATTTTGAAAATCATTTTGTATATCACAGTCAGCATGCTATAGGTCTATACTCTTTCACTATAATTGGCTTAGCAGTCTTTGGGACTAGAGTAATAGCTATACAATTAATTGCCCTATACAGTTTTCCAGTTTTGAAGAACTCCTTAATAACTTCAGTAACTTCTGCCTTCACAATAGTCCATACTTTTTTGAAAAAGTAAGCATTGTATCCATCTATACTAGGTGACTTGTCATTCCCAATTGAGGATAGTCCATCATAGATATCTTTTTCTGTCACTTCTGTACATAGTCTAACTCTTTGTTGCTGAGTGATGCATGGCCCTTTCCTCATAGTCTACTTGTTAACTACTGGCAGCATATGAGTTGCAGAGCCCATCAAGCATTTGTAAAAATTTACTATCTTTTCTCTGATTTCCTCTAGTTCAACAAGCTTCCTATTAGTGAGAGATGTGAGTTATGTTATTTGCTTCCTTTGAGTCTTCTCTTTAATCAGTGCTGAAAAGTACTTATTATTGGAATCCCCTATCTTGATCCATTTTGCCTTAGCCTTTTGTGTCACGCCCATTTTTTAAACCGCACTAAACCTTCTTTAAAGATAAAAAAAAAAGAATTTTGAAGCTCAAAAAGGGTTTTTAATTTTGAAAGGTGACAAAAATGTTGTATTTCGAAGGATTTTTTAGAGTTGCCACCTGACATTAGTTTCGGTGTGCCAGGTCACCGTTTTCAAAATAACAATTTTTCTTCAAAACACATTTGATTCTTAAATCAGTTTGCACTAGAAACTTGAGTAAGGGGGTTCATTTGACTCGGAGAGAAGGTGATAGGTATTCCTCGAGTCCCATAACTAGTACTGTTGCGTACTCAATCTAGTTGGCTTTTAAAATATTCAAATGAGGCAAAAATAAACAAAGAAAAGAAAAATGAACACACAAGAGGCTCGGGGTCGTTCCCACCTAATAAAAAAATAAAAATGAAATGAAAATAAAAAAACTACGAGTTCTACTTTTGGCCTCCGAATACAAATACTTCGGGGCATACCCCGGATAAAATATATACAAATTGCGCAGGGCATTCCCCGAATAGTAAACTAAAGGAAACGACCTCTCACCTCGAATAAAACAAAAGAAGCGACCTACGATTTGCCTACCCAAGTGTGGTCGGCCAAAACATGCTACTAGCGGTCAATAAAAACTAGCAATAACGAAACAGAAATATTATCACGTCACATTAACCCAACTCTATTTCCTTTCAATTTCAAATCTCGCAGCTCCCTTTATCCAACTTAACTCAGTAGTTCAATCTAATTGATTAATGAAGCCATAGAAGTTAAATCACGTTAATTCAGATAAGCCCCAAATTTCGATAATGGCACATACACAGAACTTCATATTACTTCAAAAAGATAACAACATCAGAAACATATCAACAAAAAATCACATGAGGGATTTAAGAAAAGAGAAAGATATTGGACCTCACGGAGAGCAAATTTCTAATGCTAACAAAGAAACTTCGAGAGAATCCTACTGCTTGCCACTGACTGGAAAAGTGAACCGCGCCAGCGACTTCGACGAACCTCAAGCAGTTCGAACCTCTTTGCTTGAGGACTGATGTTGGATCTGTTTCAGTATATTTGGGGCTATTCTATAGTAGATTTTCATGGAGTTTCAAGAGGATATTTTAATGGAGTTTCATGGACTGACTCTCCTCCTTTTAGGTTGTGCGACTGTTGAGAATGAGAAAGAAGAAGAAGCAACGATGGGTCTGTTGAGTTCCACTGCTAGGTGTAGAAGAGGAAGGTTGTTGTTGGTGGGCGGATTTGAAGAGATGAGGAAGATGCGGCGGCGATGGAGGTCTCACCGGAGATGACTGTAAGCACGTGATTTTTACCCTATATGAGAATTACTCCCAAAAAATTCAAAATCAAATGATTTTCCTTGGTGTGCAATTTTGTGAGATTTTTGGATAATTAGTTGTATTTGTCTGTGTTTGCTTATTTGTTAAATTAATAAAAAATACAAAAATATATCGCATTTTGCATGGAGGATTTAATTCTACAATTGTTAGTAATTAAATTAGTTTTACAAAAATTAAAAATTACAAAAATATGCATTTTTTGCATTTTTAGCATTTAATGTCCAAATATACAATGTTATGCTTAATTATTACTTAATTAT